GAAAAACTCATCATTGAAGCACTTCGCTGTAGATAGTTGTAAAACTTACCGAACTTGCACCATTTCATCACGATGCAAGTGTCAGATTCATAAAGTTAGAATATCTCAGGTGCGTTAGGTAATCTAGTTGAATCTTTTTGTCTAGATTTCTTCATGAATAGTCATGCCAAAACCAGAAATATTCTAGGTCCCATTGCTAGACCTTTCTCTTGAGTGCAAACAACTAAGTGAAAACCCAGGTGGGCGAGATTCAAACATGCATTTATACCTTCCACGATTTCATCTACCGAAAAACGAGTCAATTCTGAAAGTGCGGTATCCGTTAGTGGCAGCCACTTGGCTATTTGTAGAGTCATATTTTGACATTTATTTGTGACGAATTGACATCAAAAATTGCAGCCATGTCATCTGGTTCAGATGAGTCCTCGGCGTAAATAAAAGATCTCCTGACGAGAAGTTCTACACTACTTGCCAAGAATCCAGCTATCTCACGCGGTGGCGTGTTGGTACCGGTAGCAAAGCTCAGCAGGGAATGGATCGGAGCTGCCGTTGTTTCATGTTAACCAGAGGCATCGGAGGTCTTTCAAAGGATTCTAAACGTGACTAACATAACAGCAGCTTTTCAGAGGGGAAATACTCTGGGTTTGCACTGGTGCAACTGAAGGATCGTCTCCCTGCAAACAGAACCACGGGCTAGATCTACAAAATCGACGGTGACGACTGCATTACGGTCTATATAGGACGGACGACCGGTGAACCCCAAAGCTTAATTTGAGGTCATGAGAGGAAAGTAAACGGGCCCCCGGATGAATATCAAGCGTTATTGACAGAACTGGCAATTGTGAAACACGCATTGGACACGGAACACAAAATGAACTCTAACAATGTTGAGGTCTTGAGACGAGGACTACAGTTCACGTCGCAGGGACTGATGGTCGAGGCGGCCAAATCGCCAAGCATTGCATTGTTAATACAATAAAGGGCGTGGAACTGGCAAGCGTGTGGAGAACGGCCTTGAATTAGCCGAGCTGACATGTGTTAGTGTGTGACTATTAGAGGTAGTCAGCATCCGAATTCCATTTAACCTGACCCACCTCCCCTCGTTCCAACTTAGTAATCGCAACATTCATGAGCACACGAAGATCAACGACAGTCTACCGGCATCACCCGCGGTGAATAAGTGATTGAAGCTGCCCAAAGTGGAAGATTAAGGAACAAAAACTGATTGGGACTAAGTTGAGACCCCACCAACCTGTCAATGCAATCGCATTAACCGACAGGAGCCGTTAATTGACAACCAACTCTGATCTGGTGTGCTATTCGGAAGAGGTCTTATTGATTGATTCCCGTCCGCCTTAAAACCTGGCCAATTTTGTGAACTGCTCACTTGACCTGGTGAAGCTTTTGTATCAAAAGCGAAACGTTGCCTAACCGAAAGCTGCTGGTTGTTTAATAAGTTCTTATGAAAGGTAATATAAACTTGTCTGGTTGTTTAGAGTAAATTGGATGTACTAGACCTTGTTGATTTACCAGGTACTCGCGAATTGTTGACTATGACCGGATAGTGAATTGCACGTGTATTTCGTTTACAAACGTAGGTACTAGAGCCGGGAATCGATATCTAATTAAGAAAACCAGCTTACACGGAAGTGCTTTCACGATTAGGTATGAAATTTTTCCAAACAACAGTGGGGACATTTGAATTGTTTTTGCTTCTTGCGAGCTGCAACGTAAGAGTTGGAAAGTAGAAAGCATCGCTGGAATGGCACTGACAGGCTAACTACTCAAAGAAGTCTAATCAACTTGGAAAGATTCACAAGGCACGGTGACTACAGCTGCCGATTCGGAACTATAAATATGTGAGTAAATACTTTACATAAATTACCTAAAACGCTACGGGTGACCTAGGGCCCGGAAAAATTGTTTTTACATCACTTGACCTTGAGATCCCAGTTCTGTCTCAACACGATATTAAAAAAATAGGGAAAATCGGGTGCATTTGACGGACACCACTTTACGGACGGAATATTTTGGATGGCTCTGCGCATAGCCTTACACTTCCAGAAGTCGGAGAATGCAAAGAGCTATATTCAAAACGTCACTGCAGATTCCTCATTGCGCAAGCGTCTTGAGTAGAACAACTCAGTCAACCGACTTGATTGCATCTTTGAGAACTAAGAAATATAATACTATTGTCCTGTTAGAGTTATGACTGTTCTGGTACCTGATTGTCAAGCTCCGATCAACACAACTCCTACAAGACCAGAATCCCGCTTTCTGCTCTGTAGTGGGACCATGCTAGCCTCAAATTTTCACGATCTCCGTGTCAAACTTAGCTACCCAGATTACCTCAAACGATTCTCATAAGACTATCATGTAGGGAATGTCCACAGACTCAAGTACTTTGCCGCAGTGACGGTAACGCGACTGTACTATTCGGTCTAATGGCCTGTCCGTAGTTAAATTTGTCCATCATTTCCCTGCTGGGCGGATTGCACGCGCCAAAATGCTACCTCAGTTCGTTGATTTTTTGTCAACACTCCAAAGTACTAGCCATCCTATTTTACTGTCTTGCCGCGCCACCCAAAAAGCGTGTATGGTGGCCCCATTAGGGCTCAGCGTAACGTGAAGATAACACTTTGCCGCGCACAAGACAGAGTGCGTGCAGTCTATCATAGAAAAATCCACCAAGCCTACTAACCGCCTTGGAGTTCTTAGCCTTATCTAGACTGGCGCCTCTGCAACGATATTAACCTTCATCCACATAAGTCATGAACGGCCGCTACAGTTTGAGTTTTTGCGGAAATAAATGATATGGCTATTGCTTGTCCATTTATTCAAAATGTCTTCACATCCGATAGATGATAGAACGTGTGAAGAAACTACATTTTCCACGAAATTTCTCACCGTCATCACACAGACGTCACGCGGAGCGACGGCAGCCATTAATAATATGAATCCGTCCTCAGAGTAGATTGCGACTGCCTAAGGAGTTATCAGGGGTGCTAGGGCTTTATGTGAACGTCATCGCCGTTCGGACTATGGTTGCAGGGGAATTCGGTATGTTCGTCCAGGGGCCAGCGGAGCAAGATGACCGCAAACGGCAACACACATGCAGTGATTTAACCAGGACGTGCGATGACAATGTCGAAGACCAATTTACGGTCAGGTCGAAACAGGGACGGTATGGGCGCAAAGAGGAACCACCCAAAGGAAGAATTACGTAGTACACAACAAGAATGGAGGAAAAGACTCAACGCTTGGGGATGAGTGTCAACTGGCCAGTTGCGTTTCGGAGAGACAAATGAGTGTCTGACGCCACAAACTTCGCAGAGAAAAGTGCAAGGCTACTCCTGTGGAGGGGGTATATGCATTGTAGAATGCTCTGTAACCGAACAGTCGTGGCGATGGCTTCGGCTCCTCTCCGTTAGCTCAGGCAAATGACAACATCTGTTTCTTTTTCATATTCCGTGTATTGGATTCACACTGAGAATTTCCATGAGCTTATGCCAGTCATAACCGGAGTGAACAGGATTAAAAACATTAAAAATGACCGAACAGGATTAATAGGATTAACGGGGTTGTCGATGCAGGCGCCCGACAATGGTTTTTGCTCAGGTTTTGGAACTGGGTGAGTTGCTCAAGTCAACGGAGGTGGGGTGGCAGTGTATGCACTTGTAACTGCGTGCAAGTATGTATGTAATTGCTTGCAAAGTATCACAACATCCCCCTTTCCGGACATGCCCGACGGCTGTAGGAACTGTCCATCACCGTTCATGCTAACAGGTCTGCGAGATGGCAAACAGCTGATTAATCTCATTCACGGGTGCAGTATTGGTGAGCTCCAGTTGGAGTAGCAATGTAATTAACTCAGATTAAACAGCACACAAAGGGCAGTCTCTCCCTGATTCAATTCATGGGGGATGCTGACCGAATGAACCGAGATCCCTTAATTTAGTGCTTTGTCTTCTTTCCTTCTGGGGATATGGTGAATCGTGAAAGATTAAAGCCGGCGGTACAAACGCATGTCAACAGAGCTTTTTAACTCATCGCATAAAGAAACCCGTCTCCGGGCCCTGGTGCTGCGTGCAATACCACCGAAGGGATATGTGATTCACAACTCCAACAAAATTACTGCCGAAGAGGGTGAGAGCGTTCACCTTTATTTTCTTTGCCCCAACTTATACACAAAGTGGAATCTAGGACCAGCAGCCTTGCACATCCGACGGAGTCCACTAGCCCGCGGACCATGTACCATTGTGAAAACTATCGGGGCCATCTTTTTGATCCTCAATGGTCTCGACTCCGTGGCCGCCCAAAGCTTGCACAATACCCACCATCTATGGGAGCATCTACATGCCCTACACCTTGCGACAGAACTTGAAAGAAACCCTGTGAATATCCACGGGGTAGACTGTCTTCCATGGCAGCTAACGCCTGGAGTTTACCGGACCGACGTTGTCATGGCCTTGAAAACTCCGCTCCTTCGGAGAGTTTGTAGACTACAGCGGTTAATCGTGGGGGTTTCCAGCACATTTTACCTCGCATTTGTAATCACATGCACTAAACTCAATAAACCCAACTGACTTTCAACGATGCGGGAGATTCCTTCGTTTGACAGACTTTCAGAAGTCGGCTTTGAAGTCCTACGTTTGCGTTTGTTTTGTATCGTCCCAACACTAAACAACTAAGTAGCAAACCAGGGGAAACAGAACAAATAGAATTACACGAAGAGGAAAAGAAAGGAAATCCCCAGAGAGGTAAGTAGGTAGCATTTTTCTTCTCCAAATGTATTTGTTTTAGGCCTTGCCCAAAATCACAGCAACCTCCGGAACGGCAGGCCAAAGACCTAACATCAACGGCTCTCATAAGTATTTGTCCATACTGCGTCCAAGGGAGAATTCGAATCCCTTCTGGAGGCTTTTTGCGGGCGTACTCGAGCTTACGAGCTTGCAGCCAAATGTTGAGAACTTAAAATGTCCCACTTCTCCCTTTCCCAGCTGCGCCTTTCAGATAGACGGAAAGCTCTGGCGAAAACATCGATCCCATTTATCAATCTTCCGTTCTGCTGTAACCCTACCCTGTCCAATCGGATACGAGATTTCATTTCTGTTCCCTGTTGTCTTCGGGATGTAAGCGTTAGTGCATGGTGTCATTTAATGGTTATCTTCCAATTTTAGAACTTGGACTCACGTAACCCGATCTGGAACCAAAGGCCAATTATTCACAGAATGATAATCAAAGAGTTGTGAGTATTCCCTGTGTGTTTGGAAGTAACTGATTACTTTTCTTTTGAGTTTGTGAACAAATCGTATTCATTAGTACGTATACAGACGTTTTCCAGTTACGTCATACTTTTTGCATGGAAAAGATCCATATCAGGACTCACACTTTCACTCCATATGCTTTAGGAGACAGTTGAACTTTAATCCTGCTCACAGATAAGAAAACGACTCCCGCGCATCGCGCGAAAGAAATCACTGACAAAAGTTATCCCAGTTATTGAAGAAAACTTGGAGTAATTTTCTTACTAGTGGCTGCATAGAGTGGTATAATATGAATTGTGTAGGATTATGGACAACTTTTTTCTGTTTGGAGTGGTGCCAACGCCAGCAGGGTCCCCAGTAAACACGTCACCACGGCACCACCGGTTTGGCTTGTATACACAAACAAAATCAGTGGCAAAGCTAGCCACCTTTGGCCACCGTTAACCATCGGTGGCACTGTGTTTACTGGGGTCGTTTGAAACCTACGTGCATCAACGCTGCCGGTGGGACGGCTCATACCGGACATCAATTGCATCACCGAAACTTGGGGCAACAGTGACAAAAAGATTTTGATGCCTCTTTTGGTAAATGCCGAGTAATCGGACTTCATGGGGCCGTGTCCAAATGCCTATTACAGCTTACTTTAGTTGCGGCAGGTCCACCCCATTTACTTTTACCTCGCTGAGGTCAGCCTAAAAGGGTCGCTGTGCTGTATAATTAGATAACAATTATAGTGCGACAAATATTGCCATTCTCTACCGGGGCACAACACTGTCGCCACATTGATTGTAAATCTCTGAATCCCGACTAGCAGTGACAAACCTAGCCAGGACTGCTTGGACATTTTACCCCAGATCTCGCTGCCGCGGAGTATGTGTTCGTAGATGTCGTCGTAAACAGTAACATGAACCAATTCACCAAGGGACGACCTTATTGTGGTGTGACGGTTTGTCCATCTCCATAACCCACTGAATTGTGCTGGGTAGTGTACGTGTGACATTCGGGGCTCCCATATCAGGTTGGTCAGTGTCCTCCAGGATGGGATGTTGGAACATATGTGGACTGCTTTGACGGTCTTAAGCTAGCCACCGCTGCCTTGCGGTTAGGCTTTTGAGCCAGAGACTTTGGTTGAGGACCCTAATCATCCTTCTCTCTAGGTGTGGATGCCATCGCAGTACCCAAGCGCACGTACAGCTCTCGAATAATCTCATGCGAACGAGCCGTCGCGTAGTGCCATCAGCCGAGTTGCCTTACTTGCTGGGTACCTCAAGGTAGGTGAACGAAAACAGGCTACTACTGACGTCTCCGTTTCTGTCTCACGTATTCGCTCTTCCCCGTTTCATCAACTAGTTTCTAGCGGCATCTTCATTGGCCCATTCTTAAGGAATGACAGATATGCTCGCCAACCATTGCAACAAGCTGCAGCATGTACTGTTGACTCGGCTATCCCGACCACAGTCACCTCTAAATCGTTCTTTAAACCCTAACGCTCAGTTCATCTGGCAGCCTTCAACGTTCGCACTATGAAACAAGCTGGACAACAGACTAAACTTCCATGTACACTGGTCTCGCTCTCTGTTGATATGTGCTGTCTCAGAACCGGAAATTCACGACCCAGGTACGGTTGTTGACCTGATCTCCCCATCGATTCCCGCTTGCTTCTGTAGTGTGACATGATGTGAATGCACGAATCTGCAAGGCTCGGGCCGCGTTTGCTAATTTGAGACACCTATGGCGTCAGAATGGTTTATCCCAGAATCTCAAGGGACGTGTATATCAAGCTACAGTACGGGTTGTTTTGTTGTATGGCTGTGAGACTTGGCCTATTCGAGCAGCGGAATTGAGACGTCTTCAGGTGTTTGACAATCGTTGTCTCAGAACCATAGCTCGTGTGGGTTGGTGTCGGCGAATCCGTAACGAGGCAGTTAGAAAACGCGTTTTCGGTTGTGCGACGGGTACTTCCATTGGAGAATGTGTCCAGCACCAGAAGCTGCGTTGGTTGGGACATGTGTTGCGTATGCTGAACCATCATTTGCCGAAAACGGTGCTGTTTTCCATGCCCAACTCAGAGTGGCGTAAAAAGGGAGGTGGCGAACCCTTGACTTGGCAGAGGAGTATGAAGGAGATCACGAAACGCTTGGGTGCTGTCGGTGCTACTCGCCTTCCAGGATGGGGACCGCGTGATCCTCTGCCTGGTTGGAGACACTAAGAGATATGGCTGCCAACCTATGTGAGTGGCGTTCTTGTCAGTTTCTATCCAGGTTGCCTGAGTGAATGTCTGGAGGTGTAGGCACGTCGGAATGACTGTGTTAAGCTAGCACTAAGTCCCTTCCCTGTCCACCTTTACTCTTTTCTTTACAATAAGGCTTTCAAATAAATTATGGTCGTACGGCAGTGAAGCATCGTTGTTGAACACTGATGCTTCTGGTTGCACACCTTTGGTGATCCTGCAACGGCTAGTTTTGATTTATTCGTTATTGTT